CCGCTAAAGTAAAAATATATTTTTTTAAGAAGTTTGATTACTTCTGACTTAAATCTCACGATGCAAGAGTGGTGTGAATGAAATCCAAAGTTCTTGGTAATTAATTAGTTGTGATTTTTTATGAGAAATATTTTTCGAAAAAGATTCAATAAATTGACTTTGTTTTTTCAAGAATTTATAATGTATGGATAATTTCTTTGAGCTATTTTTTTAACATAATATAAAGTTTTTATAAATATATATTTTTTCTAAGCAATTATATATATATATATATATATATATATATATATATATATATATATATATATATATAAGCCTAAGATAATCTTTCAATTTATTATTCCTATTATTTTTCAGCTATCCTAAGAAACTATATTTTTCTTTTGATTATTTATAATTGTTATTATATAGACTAGCCGCTAGCGACTCACTCTCGGGTTCGTCCCTACTTACGTTTTCGTACGTACGAGATATTTTCCCACAGTAAAAAATATACTATATGTTGACCCGGATAACCAGCTATCATCATACAAATTTCATCAAAATCCCTCCAGTGGTTTTTCCGTGATGCGGTAACAGACAGACAAAAATTCTAAAAACTATAAATTCGGCCTTTGTATCGATAATAATGCCTATTTCAATAAGATTTTCCAAAAAATATCTAATGTACAGATTCGGCTTAGTTACAATCTTATTATATATATCTCAGTTGTCTGTTAGTTTAGTTAGTCTCTGAGCTGCCCCATCCAAAATTTAACTCTAGATCCGCGCCTAGTTAGGAATACGCGCTGCGTTACTGTTAGAAAAACGGATTTATTAATACTTAATTCTAGATAAGCCCCTAATCCACAACTGAGGAGTAGTCTAAGTTGATTATGACGCAATACTTGCTGACGTTTCAGAATGCCTTCGTTATAGAAATATGAATCTTTTTTATATCTGTTATGTAGACTGGATTAATTTTGAACGAAGCGTAAACATTTTTAATTAGGGAGTTTATACTCCCTAATTAAAAATGTTTTAACATAATTTAATTAGTTGACATTAGTTCTTTAATTAGTTGAATTGACACGCAAAAAAACTCTACAAAGGAATTAGAATATGTTGCCTATAGAATTGACAACACGAATAACGTTATTAAGGCAAAATGAATTTAATATACAAAAGGGCGTATTCCTCTTATCCCACATAATATAATCTTTCAAAGGAAAATAAGGCACACACTATAAAATAAGATTAATGTACACACGTCAATCTCTATTACGCAGCCAATCTCCGGCCGTCAGAGCAGGCTCCGATGATATCAGATTGGTTTCCTCTACCTGAGTAGGTCACTCGGCGAGTCTTTGCTACATAGACGATATTAGTTTTTTTTTAAGACAAAACAAATATTTTTATATCAACTTTTATGTTTTTTCTTAGATATCAATCAACCAACAGTGAATTTACAAGAATATCATGAGGCACAATACTTTATGAAAGAATTATGTGATAATTTTGACGAATATTTAATATATTGTAGCATGAAAATCGTAAGCACAAGCTTAGGTATAATTATGTGCATTCTACAAAATTAATTATACATATAATAAAATTCTAACTGATATGAGTCGAATCAGTACATTAAATATTTTTTAAATAGTCATTATTATCGATACAGAGGCCGAATATATAGTTTTTAGAATTTTTGTCTGTCTGTCTGTGACTGCAACATGAGAATTAACTAGACAGCTTTTGATGGGTATGATAATAGCTGGTTATCAAGGTCAACATATAGGATACTTTTTTAATGTGGGAAAAAGCTATAGGTAGGTACTAAACATTAAAACGTAACTAGGGACGAACTGAAGCCGAGCGAGGGTGCGTCGCTAGTTAAGAAATACATATAGCCTATAGGTAGGTATATATTTGCCCAACATTTAAGCAGAATAGTATTTTTATTAAGTACGAGTATCTATCTACACTACTATGATGTCATTTGTACCTGTGTCATGTTTTTTCATCAAATTTTGTTATCAGCCTACATATTATTTAAGTAATTAAATCTTACATTTATTTGAAATTTCTTATAAAATTATTAGGTTAAGTTTATTTCGTAAGAACATTTTCAAATGTTATGTTATTTGTTTTTGTTAGTTAATTATTGACTTAATTATAGTCACTTTATTATCATTTCATTCATTCAATAAATTGAATGAATTATAAAATAACCAATTTTTTTATAATATGATTGATATATTTAGTATAAAATTTAGGGTGCCGTACCTAAGAGGTCCTGAAGGACCCTATTATTAAGCTTACGGTATCCGGCGAACATCCGTACCCCTATTAAATTTCATAGACGGTTGCTAACCCGGAAAAAGTTCTTTTACATAAAATCTTCCTAGTACGTATATTTTTATAATATTAGGTTACCGAAAAACCATTTAAAAGGTATTTTAGATATCCAAACCTCAATTTAAATGTGAATAGTATCTATCTTTCACCTTGTCTGGTATCAGCTAAATTATCTCCTGAGAATAAGAAAAGGTCATAGTTATAATGAATATCAAGGTTAATTTATCCTGAGTGAAACAACTTATTCGATGTGATATTGTACTTGAGGCGCTCACACGACCTTTCGTATGTTCATTTGAACGCCTATTGAATTGACAACACGAATAACTCACTTAATCTTATTTGAGTTTACGAAGTTATAAATATAATTTTGAAAAATATATTACATTACATAATTTTGAACAATTTTAAATATATTATAAAAACATCTTTAAAATCATTTATAATTATTATGTTGAAAAAAAGAGAGTAATTTGGAGAAATAAAGAAACCGAGTTTGTAAAATTTTTACTAATAGTTGTAAGCTTTAAAGCTGTAAGCTTTATATTAGTGATGTAGCGAATATTCGCGTTCGCGAATATTCGCATATTTCTTGACATTCGCATTCGTATTCGCAAGAAACGATGCGAATGCTTGGCGAATGTATTTGACAAACAAAAAGGAACTTATATATGGAATGGACGGACCAATGATAATACAACTGTGCTTTACTCATGTTTTTATATCAGTTTGTGAATTTGACTAGGTATTACTTAAATTTGACAAATGCAATAATACTAAACTAACCTCACATCACAACAAATCTTTTCGAACGAACTCTATGTGACTAACTTCGTTCATTCAACCTGCATCGGCTCGGCTATGTTCGGTTTAAACATGACCGACACGAAATGTCAAACCTGTCTGTTTGACGTTTTGCGCGCGCTTTGTTTAAAAATCAACATCCGCATTCGTATTCGCGAATATTGGAGTTGAATATTCGCATTCGCATTCGCGAATGTGAAAAATCGAATATTCGTTACATCACTACTCTAAATGTATATGTAGATTGTGGTAGATCAATATAATGCAACAATTTGTAACAATCTAAACGAGGATGTTCTTGTTAGTAATCTATTCAGATTATTCCTTTGAATCATTACTACTATGAGCAACTACGCTTATATTCAACCAATGTCGGAGTTGAAAAATAGAGACTATAAGTTAAAAATATGAGAACCTTATAATTATTGGCGATGAGGCGACTCTATTTTTTTACATATTTAACAATACTCAAGAGAGTAAGAACTTAATGTAATTAAACAGTTTTGATAACGTTGTAATTTGAAACCTAAATCAAAGTACATATTTTTTTTACTTTAATAACTTTGTTCAATACGTAATTGATATCTTCATAAATTCTATCTTGTTAAATAATTAAATAAGATACACGTCTGGAATTTTAATCATATCTCAGAATAGCGTAGTTTTAACGTAAATGATGCAAGAAACAAAAGCTTTTGCATACGTCCTTAAACTTCAAGAGACTTAAAGACATAGAAAACAATATTTATACTTAATCAACTTAGGCCCTTTAAAGTTACAAAGAAACAATTCTGTTTTATTTTTAAAGAAACAAAATGGTAGAAAGAGTGAGTAAGTATTTATGACTTATCTGTAATTAATTAATGTACGTATGTAAGTACAATAAAAATTAACATTTGATTGTTTTGTAGGTACCTACCTAAATCTATGAAATAAATGTCAGTATTTAAGAGTTTCAAAAACTACAAGATATTTTAAAATCTAAATTTCTTTTTGTATTTTTTGTTTGTAAAATTCCTACCTAAAAAAGTTGAAGTGAACCAAGAAAGTGGATAGGTGAGTTAATTTTAACTCAATATTCATAAAACTTTTACGATAATCCATATATTTCATTCTTGACTTCAAATTAATAAAAGTTTTTAAATAACATCTTGTTCATTACAGCAAACTAAAAGCTTTTAAATAAAAATCATAAAAGTCACAAAAATCGCATGATATTAACTAATTTAAAAGGTAGGTATATGTTTATGTTTTATATAGAGCTATTCATATCATATAACATTTAATAAGATTAATGTCAGTTAATTAATTAATTAATCGTTCAGTGATATTACTTAGTCGTTATTAATAGAAAATAAAAATTAAAAAAATATAGGTAGGTATATTTTAGTAAAACAAAAAAGTTGGTGGTAGAATATTGCCATTTTTTTGGGTTTAATAGAACTGGCAGATTAATTTTTTACCATGGTACTAACGAAGGCCTTGATATACTGAACCGTGGTTTCTAATTTTATAAAAAAACTAAAGTTTTATTGAAAAATTTATTCCAGCTAACACACAATAAAGATTTTCAAATACGTTTTACTTACAGCAGCTATTCAATTTTGTACAATGCGCAAAAAATGAATAGCACGGCAATACCTTAATTATTACATTACATTTAGAAAATAACGCACTTCAAAGTGCTTTCCGACACGTTATCCAAGTATAGGTACATATAATTTTTATTCTTTCTTCCAATAATATCAAATCGTAGAAGTATTTGCCAAATAAAATAAAATATTAGTACCTAATATTTTATACTTATATAAACAAAATTAAATATTGCTTAGTCAATTTTCTTAATAAGAACAACTTACCGTTTTCCCGCGTTTCAGTAGACTTCGGCACGAGCGATACACGTCTTGCGTCTGAAATTGCGATACGCGCTCTCGCCTCTCATCCCCTCGCTTGCGAAGCCGAACCCACCAAAGCGCTTGCGCTAACCCTATGACGTCAATGGCTTCGTTCATTAAATACAGGTGTCTGTATTCATAAAAATGCCGCAGAGCCCAACGTGGGCAACCAAACAATACTATTGCTGACAAATCACTGCTTTATTGTTTCTTGCACGTTCTTGATACCTATTTCTTGTTCAGGGTCTAAAGTTAATCTATTATTATCTAGTTCTATAAGCAGAAAGTTTTCCATCCACGCCATGACCTACTTTAGAGGGCTCTTGATAAATTGATCTAGCTGATCCAGTTATTGTGGCTGAGAATATCTAATTATTCATCTTTTTTTCCTGCTACCTTATTTTATACGACTCGCGTACCATTAATTTAACTGAATAAAATATATTAAACCAATTTCAGTAGGTAATTTATTTTGAAATGTTTTGAATTTACATATATGAAACTCCTATTTATCTTTATATTTAATTATTGGAACACTCTATCGAATTATTTAAAGGGTTTCGGGTTTGTAATGTTATTTACTTCTATACATACGAGTACAATTAGTAAGCTATAGGTAATCAAGACAGTCTAAAAAATCATATCTAATTAAACTTATTGAATTCAATTTAGCGAAATAAATTCTATTCGACCGGCAGGCTTGAATTTTCAAAGTCATTAGCAAGAAAATTGAATCTAATCGTTTTCCTTCATAATCGTCTTTAGTCCTTTCGCAAAAGTCTTCAAATATATTGTAGGTATATAAAAATAAACTTAGCTACAAATCCTGCTTTTCTTACTCAACTGCGGCGAAGCCCAAAGGAAGATTATATGTTTGACCTGTACGTATGTATGTAAGTCCGACCCTATATGTTCTATTACTAAACGGCTTAACTGATTTTGATGATTCGTCTTGATTTAACGTGAGTACAATAGGATATATATGTCGCAGGGAATTGTAAGATACGTTAAATTAACATTGGATTAATTAACGTTCTTAGGGAAATTACAATTTACCTAAAATTGACCTGTGTCGATATCGTAAGAAAAGTAATAAGTAATTGTAATCTATACATATAATAAAATTGTAACTAAGCCGAATCTGTACATTAGATTTTTTTTGGAAAACCTTATTGAAATAAACATTATTATCGATACAAAAGCCAAATCTATAGTTTTTAGAATTTTTGTCTGTCTGTTACCGCATCACGGAAAAACCGCTGGAGGGATTTTGATGAAATTTGGTATGGTGATAGCTGGTTATCCGGGTCAACATATAGGATACTTTTTACCGCGGGAAAATATCTAATTTCTGAGAAAAAATACAAAAACTATAATGTAAGAGTATACTAATATGTAAAAACTAAGAATTTGGTTTTTGGTCATCTGACACGGGCGGAGCCGCGAGCAATGCTAGTTTAAAAAATAAATATTTACTCTAAATAATTATTGTACATTCTCAAAATAAAGGTTTTTAATAGGCGATTTTTAAAATATAGGAATGCAACTAATATGCTTTAAAAAGTAATTTAGGATAAGAAATTGTTAAATAAACCTAAACATGTTTAACTAAACAAACCTAAAAAGCTATAAATAGTCATAAATAATAAAAAAAGTACTAAAATAAAAAAACCCATTAAATAAATAATAATTAAATAAGTTTTTACGTTCGTTCGAATAGGAAATAATTAAGATTCCCGGAAATTGCCCTACGAACTTTGTGAAAAATAAAACAAGTATTTTATATTTATTTCGTATTTATTATCCATATAATTTCGTACAACAATTATACTCTTCTTGGCTAAGAGGTTTTATTCCGGGCATATCGCAGTCGCTATCGCTTATATACATAAATTAACTAGATCGTGATCAGAATCAGTGTCGCTATCACTTACTGTACATATGATGTATTTATTTTCACATCAATATTTCCTTTATTCTTGGTCTTCAACATTTATTACAATATGCTCGCATTGAAAATTGTCATCCATCTAAAAATTGGGGCCTTCATTAATTTATAGTTGTAGTTATTGTTAAAAATATGTTGCAATACATATACAAAAATTAGGCAAAAATGAGCGGCTATGGCAGCCCTAAAATTCATATGTCATGGCGGCGACTTTCATTGCACTTTAATGAGCGGGATTAATAAATCTTTATTCTTCTATACTAAATTACAAAATTCATTAACTTTAAGGATTACTTCACATGAAACGACTAACAATTCACACACACAAACACTCCTATTTATCAAACAAGATGACGGAACTGTCAAATTTAGTTCTAGAATTTGCCGTAGGACTTGCACTTCAGTCGTGGCGCCGACTGTAACTTTGACATTAACATTGGACAGTTGACATAATGTAAAAAATTTAAAATAATCATGACATTGTGGTTCCTGATTTCAGATTTGTGATTTACTGATAAATTGATAACAGTATTGAAAAAAATAATAAAAATGATTAATAATTATTGTTTTTAAATTTTATTCATTAGGAGGTAATACTTATTCACTGTCCCTAAAGGTAAATATAAAAAGTATCATCGCACTGTCATAAAATTGTCTAGAGTAAGAATTTGAAACTCACAAGCAAAAAAAATTTTTTTGCAGAATTGAAAAAGTCTTATTGACTTTTGTACGTAAATCGACATTCAACAGGTATATATTAACATGTTTTTCTCGCATATTAGGTCGAGAGGGCGAATATATTGGGCTATTGTGAGCAAAAACGTAAACAAAATGACCGTTCGTCAATCTAGTGATATGGTAAAATTCAAGGAATGTCTAAAAAAAGCGGAGGAAGTTGTAATATTATCTGGAGCTGGAGTAAGTGCTGAATCTGGTATCCCAACATTTAGAGGTACTGATGGGACCTGGAGAAGATACAAAGCGTCGTCTTTGGCAACACCAGGTGCATTTAGGACTACTCCAGGTTTGGTTTGGGAATTTTATCACCACAGACGAGAAGTCGCAGCTAAAGCGCAACCTAATGCGGTAAACTTTATATACTTACTAAACTATATATATAATCTACTTGAATCATTATAAATATAATGTTATTAAATAACAATACCCTTTTTGTAATTCTAGGGTCATGTAGCTATAGCTAATTATGAAACAAAACATGAAAATGAGAAAAAAATAACAGTAATAACTCAAAATGTGGATGGACTTCATGCAAAAGCTGGTACAAAGAACTTGATTGAACTTCATGGTAATTTATTTAAAACACGCTGTACTAAATGTAAAGAAGTTGCAGTAAACACTGATTCACCTATTTGTGAGGTAAATCTTTTTGTTCAAAATTTAGATTTTTAATATGTACATAATTCCATGGTTAATTTTGTGAGTCTATTTATTAAATAAGGTCTACATACTTAATTTTATTTTAAATCATTAAAAAGTTAATGGTAAAATATTAATTTATTCATCTGCTTTGTATGATATTTAACTAATACATTTTTACATAACATTTACTAAAACTTATTTATTAACAACTAATCCTATGTACTTGAACATTATTGTAGGCCTTGGGGAATAGTGAAGAATTAGATGCAAATGTAACGGAATCAAGAATACCTGTTACATCTTTACCACATTGTAAAAAGCCAAATTGTAATGGTCTTTTAAGGCCACATATTGTCTGGTTCGGTGAAACTTTAGAATCCACAGTTCTAGATAGTGCAGGTAAATATATTCTATATTGTACATGTACAATTATCACAGAAATTATAATATGATATGTTGAACAACTGCAATCCTCATATAATATTATATTGTGATGAAATGAAAGGAATCCCCATCCATTGCCAGTGGAGGTAGTCACATGTTGCATGCACAGCAAAACACTGCTAATGAAATACAATTTACACCAATTATGGTCCTTAATTTGTCATAAGAAGCCAAAATTAACTCCATTTTTAACTAACAGATGGTTATCAATCCAACATGTATGTATGTAATATTATTATTGGGAAATGCTAATAATCTATTTTATATCTAATATATAAAATTTCCATGTCACAATGTTAGTTACCGTACTCCTCCGAAACGGCTTTACCGATTTTTACCAAATTTTATATGCGGTCTGAGAATCGGCTACTATCTATTTTCCATACCCCTAAGTGATAAGGGTGGCCCACCTTAGGGACGAACCCGAGCGGAGCGAGGGTGAGTCGCTAGTATAAATATATAAAAACAAAGTCCGGTTTGTTATAACCCTTATAACTCGAGAACTGCCAGAATGATTTTTATGATCTTTGTTTTGTTGGATTTGTGTACACCATGAATAGCAGAATAGCTATTAAAACAGGAAAAATTCGTGAAAAAAAATTAGAAAAAAAACCATCCATACTAAGCGTCAAACTCTACTTAGGGATGAACCTGAGGGAAGCCAGGGTGAGTCGCCAGTATTACAATATATTCACAAATTTTGAACTTCAAAATAAGAAAATCCAGATATATTTACCCATACTCTATATTAATAATTAGGTTATTAAACTGTAATATTTTTTGTTTTAGGAGCAGCAATGGAGACTTGTGATGTCTGCCTTGTGGTTGGTACATCTTCAGTGGTATACCCAGCATCCATGTTTGCCCCACAAGCGGCAGAAAGAGGGGCTATTGTAGCTGAATTTAACATTGAACCTACACCTATGACCCGAAACTTCCATTTTTACTTTGAAGGCCCTTGTGGAACTACACTGCCTGTAGCTTTGGCAGACTAAGTTTATTTTGAGATATATAGGTGAATGTTGGTTGGTTGGTTAGGTTGTTATGGGGAAGGAATCTATTAGCCCATATAGGTTGCAGCTTTATACCTTATAGGAATAGGATTCTGAATGCCATTTAAATAAGTTTCCCATCTAAATGACAATTCAGTGAGAATAGCTTAAAATTAAGGTAAATATAAAAAAAAACTATTTTTAAAATTTATTATATAATAAGCGTATTTAGTTACTTTAGGTATTTATTATAAATAAATTATTATTTCACTTTACAAATTGTTTTTTTTTTCGGTGCTTTGTGAAAAACTTAGCAATGTTACCGATTGTTTGTCCAAAAGTGCAATTGGGCAATAAAGATTTCTGAAAAAGAGATTTTTAATTAATTATAATCTATCTTCAAGTTGTTTGTGAGAAAAAAAAATTCCAAAAAATAATGTACAGATTCGACTTAGTTACAATTTTATTATATGTATAGATAATTTTATAAACTAACGTAATGTTAAAAACAAAAAAAAATACGTTTCATTTAAAAAAACATGGAAAAAAAGGAAGAAGAAATAGAGAAAAAACACATCCTTATTATCGGAAATCTAAAAGACGAAACAATAATAATAATTTAGGAACTATAATTTATATATTTTTTCTTAAAGGATAAAAAACTATTATTAAAAATGTTCTATTCATTGTTTAAACTACTGAATGTTTTACACATTTCGTGTAAAGGATCGTTTTGTTATTTAATTTAACTTCTTTTCATATCGTGTTGTCTTAGAATATATTTAAAAATTCATTTATAAATAAAGTCCTGACCTTTATGAAGGAAGGTAAAGCCGATATAGTCTGAGGTCGTGAATATCTTTCATCGACCAACAGTACACAAGCGAAATCATTAGCATGTCTTACAGCTCGCCCTGAAATTATAAAGTAAAAATTAAGGACGATTCCCATACAAGACACTCGTTTTATAACTAACTTCAAAAAAGACCATGTTTGGAATGAATTGGAATGATTTTTTATTAGATATGTGTGTATACATTATATCTTCGAATATTATCATGTGGCAATTATGATGATTCGCTTTATATTAATAGAGTACACAGTCTCGAGGATGGTCAAATTAAAATTTCAAGGAAAATTTCAAAATAAAATGTGCATATTTCAAAATCAGAGTAATTCATAGCTTAGCTTAAAAGAAACAATTTCATCTAATACAGTAGATAAATAAATCAAGTGTGAGTAAGACTGACTGAAGGGCTTCCATTGCCTGATATGTATATAGTGATTTTTTGAATAGACATGGATTCTAAACTTGAAGTATTATCAACTATTAACAAAATTAATAAAAGAAAATTCTAGCCAATTTTATCATAACTAATATGATAGGTAATGCAAATATATTGTGTTTAAATATATGTATATGGAATCCTGAGTCAGTCTGACTCACTTCATTGATATTCTTTCTATATGTCATTACACTGTTTTTTTTTCGACTGCAAGGGAGTGCAAATTGGTGAATGTTATATAGAAACTCTTGCTAACCAATGCATTGATTGACTGCTTTCATGCACAAATTCTCACAGTAAGAGCTTCCCGCACCAGGTGTCACTTTGTTCAAGTAATTCATCTTTTCTTGTAATTCAAGTGATTTCACATTCGGGTACGGCAAACCAATCACAATCACGCACCGACCTAATTCGTCACTGGGAAAAATAAAATATTATTGACTAACAAAATGATCAATGTTGAGGAAAAGAAAGGAAAAACAATGCTAATACTTTTATATGCAGAGAAGTATATTAAACATAATAGAGAATATGCGTGTTTTTTTTTGTTTTTTACACTATAGCTTACATCTTCATATAGTTGTAAAAAAATATCCAGCTCCAAAAAACTGAAACTTAGTGTAAAAAATTGTTTCAGTTTTCAAAATATCATACAGATACGGGTATATTAAGCGCCTTCTATTTCGGCGCGCTCGGCGTGACGTCATAGTCTATGACAACCTTGCAATCGACGAGAAAACAGGTGTTAGGTATCGTACGGCCAACGTTAGCAGCTGCTGCACAAGCATCGCCCTACACAGTGCCGGATTCAACCTTACAGCCGCCCCTGGGCGATGTAAGAAATGCCGCCCCATTATCGGAATTTTGCATAAAATGGATAGTTTCGATAAAGTTCATTTTTTGAATTTTTGATGAATGCAAAAAATAGTCATTTTTTTATTATTCATCTTTTGGAAAAAAAATATTTTCGATAACGCGAAGATTTTTTTTAAATATCCTTCAGATTTTGCCGCCCTGGGCACTAGCCCCGAGTGCCACTAGTATAAATCCAGCGCTGGCCCTACAAACCTCACGCGCAGGTGCAAGCGCAGTAGCTACCTACATTCAATCGATGTCAAGACCGTATCTTCCTAGAGCAAATGTAGTATAAAAGGCATTACTTGATTGCTTCCTCACTTCTTGTCTAAAATCGACCAGTAATCACAATAAGTATTATCATAGCATTTAATTAGTAATATTTTTTTGTTAATGAATTAATTAAAATAACTCACTTGATCTAACATCGATCGGTAGTCATTTAATTAGCGATAATTTTTTTAGTTGATAAATTAATTTAAATAAATCTGTGTTTCTTCGCATCTCCTGGCTGTCCCTATTACGTGATTCTAGATTCTTCTCTTCTAGATTCTAGATTCTAGTCTAGAAGTATTGAACAACAGCGCTCTGTTATAATAGACTTTGACGTCACATCCAGTCTGACCAATGTCGTTTCGTTTCAACTAAGAATTTCCCACCTATTTTTGCACTTTTCAATAATTATTTTTTTAATTAATAAGAAATTACATAAAGAAATATTGATATAGCTTAATTCAGAAGCAATAAAGATTATAAAAAAAAATTCACCTTCATTTAAATCACGCGCATATTCCTTATTGCTAAATTATTTATAACATTATTTAGTATTTACACTTTGTTTCAAATACCTGAAATTAAGTCCTTCACTTAATTTCCCTCCAACGACACTCAAAAGAAGTGCGCCGTTTCCAGATCCGCTTTTATTTTTAATGGCAGATGCGTACTTTTGTAAAACCTAAAATTGATATATTACAATCAGAAAAAACAGTTCAAACAAAAAATATAATAAAACTTAATCATATATAACTAGAGAAGTACTCACCTGTTCAACTTGTGCAGCAGATTTTGGTTCTCTAAAGATCTTTTTCTTCTTGCTTATAACCTCTATCGCTTTACTGCTACTCAGGTGATCATATAAAGTTTGCTCATAAGAATACGAGGGTAGAAAGCAAACAACGCCGTCTGGCACAATGTTACAAACATTGCTTAATATTCGACCAACTTCATTCAACTAGAAAAAATAAATCTTTGAATCAATAGATTCTTAGTAATATTGTAAATGCTATATCAAACCATTTCATGACTAAGTCAACATCCCCATTTCGGTAGAATTTGCAATAGACGTAAGGTAACAGACAGGTTTTTATTCAACAACTTGATGTGAAACGATTTAAGAATGACAAATTATCTCAATAGATATATGGAGAGTTTTTATAGGACATTTGTAAATTAGCTGAAACAAGTGTATACTGTATAGTTAGGACGTTCGCGAAAAAAATGAGGATAGTATTACATTTTACCGCCGTAGCGCGATGGTAAAACTTTTATTCGACTTTGGAATTTCGGAAGTCATATAGCAAATAGAATATAATATAATAATGCGAAATATAATATGCATTTTATATTTCGCATTTGAAATATATATATATTTTTTACTTATATATAATAAAACATACCAGATCTTTAGATGTGCGGTTTTCGTATGAAAAATTCAAATTGATGTTAGAAGGGCCTTTCGACAGACAAATGCCTAATACGTTGTCCGGGGACACAACATGATCACACTTGACCACGGTCAGCCTCTCTTCATCCATAGTATTATTTGTGAGTAATGCTTGGAACTCACTCACTGGCTCCATTGTGCCTCCTGCTACTATCACCTGTGAATATAATAAAATTATTTGATTATAAATTAAGTTAAATCTATATATTGCAATAAAAAAATAAATGCTGTTTGTTTGTAAGGGCATCACTTAAAAAGGGCTGGAATGATTTGGTATTTGTTTCTTTAAAATGTTCGTAATAGACTGTATAAGGCTTTTTGAGAAATGAAATGGAAAATTTTCCTGGAAAATAAGAAGTGCTTTTTGTCTACAACATTTTTGTAACATCAATAACAAAATTGAAATTTGAATAGAATGTCTGTTGGTCGGCTAAGTTAAAATATAAATTGATAAATCCACCAAAGTCAACTGAAACATTCTATATAACTAAAGATCTCATAATAACTTACCGATCGGCACTCACTAACAACCTTAGCAAAACGTTCTGCCGGGTTCAACAATAAATATTTAAGTTGACCATTTTCTCCCATTTGAGCAAATATTCTGCCGTTTTCGCTTCTGTCACAGAGCATTTCAATAAAATCGAGTACTGCGTACAATCCACTGCCCGCCGACGTCTCCGTTGGTAAATTAGGCTAGAAATTAAAATAACATTTTAGTAAGAAACAAAATATAAGTAGTTATTATACCATTTTTTCGACAATTTATCTATGTAGTAGCAATTTAAAAGTTCTGCCATCGACCTTCTAACTGCATGCAAGATTTGATTATATAATTAGTTACAAGTGATGCAAATTAAAAAATGAATATAATTTGCTATTTAATATCTAAAAACAGACTTTTATCCTTTTAAGATATGGATTCCTAAAGATGCCGGCTAAAATCAATACATAAATAAAAAATTACTCTAAACAGAACTTATGTTATAACCTTACCTGATTAATAGGCTTTTCTTCTATTATTGGAGTCTGTATTTCCTTTTCACCTTTCTTTTTAGTAATATTACTAAGAAATTCTTTTAATGATCCCTTCTTATTGGTTTCTTTGTTAACATTATCTTGTTCAAGTGCTTGCTGGCTATATCTCATTGAAAAACCGTGCAATTTGGGCGCAAGCCTCGTGTTTCTACAAAACTCCACTAATGGGCTTAAATGTAAGTGATCTATCTCAGCATTTATAACAAATTCTTCAAGAGTGAATACTTTGGCTTGTTTGTTATCAATTTGTTTTGGTTTCACCATGCCTGAAAAGTATTAGTTTTAATTACATATTTAAGTTTTATTTTATGTATGTCTGCCATAGGTTGTCTTTGGGGCATATTATTATATTACCATCAACCTATGACAATTTGGCGAGAGAGATCTCAACATAGAACAAGTTTAACACACAGGTATCTTACCACAGTGAATATCATGTGTATAAATATGCACTGATATACGTCTGTAACTTTTCAAAACGCAGGTAGCTTTTAGAACTATTACAGAATATAGATAAAAATAAAAGAAATTGTAAAAGTACTAAGTACATTTTGTATTCATACGAATCTAAAAAAAAATAATGTTGCTAAATACAGTTCCATTATTAATTATAAATTAATAAACTAATATGAATTGGATAAAAATATTAAGTAAGATACCTAAAAGCTTTCCAATAACAAACTTCACTTGATTCAGCTGCAATAAATTTTTGCTGCTGAGCCGTGCTCTATATTTATTTATGTAAAAGTCCAAAAAAGTCTTAACAGATGACAATTGCTTCACCGACAAAGGGGCAGAATGAGCATTTTCCAGTGCAGAGGTTAAACCATGCGCCTCATCCAGAATAAGGACATTATCTTGTAATTTAAGTGAAATTCCAGATCTAGCTCCACTGCTTACAATCCCTGCATGACTTATTAAAACTACCTATAATAGATATAAACAATAATTATTAACTTACCATTCTTTAGGCAATTTTAAATTCAAATCCATAGATGATAATAATGTAAATAATTATAAATTAAATGTATTGTATTATAGAAGAATACCATATTAGTAACCATTAATATAATTCGCGGTACCTATAAGAACCAGATGAACGTATCTACAAAAAAATCAAAAATCGTTTTTTTTTCATAAAACGAGTCACAATGTGGTCCTTTATGAAATGTTAAAACGACGTAACAGTATAGTCAATAGTTCACAAATTCAAAAAAAACAAAATAGCATAAGAACCACTTTCAATAGGACCAGAAAAACGTATCATGAGTACCGCTAAATTAGTTTAAATTATCTTACTACCAGTTAGGGCTATAGAAACGTTATTGCAAAAATAATATTTTTAATCGTAGAATATTGTTTGATTCACAATTTCACGAACACGAACCATATCAACGTAAAAGCTTATACATTGTTTTGGGTGTTACAAGATTGTGTTTTTATGCTAAATTTGAAGAACCAAAACAACGATTATCTTTATTTTATTGGCACAAGCATTTTTATAAAATATATTTATTTTATAAAAATGATTGAATTAATGATTCACCATTAAATAAAACTTAACTTTACAAATGATTTATTTAAGTAAGGTTTTCAAAAAAGATAAGGGCCACACTAAGTATGTCAACCGAATTTCAAAAAAATATATAATGTGTCTATGTAAGCCTGTATAAATAAATGTTAACTATTTCTGAGCTCTAATAGTATGCCAATATATCAATATATATTTTTCTTTCGTTAATTGTATATTATCACTATTAAAAAGCTGGTAAAGTTTGAAGTGGCGAATTTACCCAGTATTTTTGCTCTCCTGTAAAATTGAGAAAATATATATACATTCATCTGACTCTTACACCGCGAATTTTACTTAACACAAATAACCAAATATTTGTTTTAAGCTCTTGTATAAACAAGCCATGCCAGTCAGCATATCTAACTATTCAAACAGTAAGATGAATCTTAGAAACATATTGTTCAGTGTCAAATGTAGATTAACTTTATTCACCTAATTTTTAACTGTTTATTTTATAAGATCCTGTAAAACTTAATTAAAATAATTAACTTGTAAATAAAATCTATGGCTTTCATGAAAAAAAAAACAATACTTATATGGAATTTAAATTTTACATGTGTAGATGTAATTGTACATGATTAGATATTAATGTTATAAAAAACAATATTTACCTCAGCCTTATCTAATGCCATTCTAGTAGCATAATATGGACATGCCTTTAACTGTTTGCCACATTTAACTAAATCCTCCATATCCATTATATCAACTAACAATCTCTCTTGCAATTTAGTGATATTATTTAGATTATAATATGGGCATGCTGCACATGATGCTGTCTTTGTTCTCTTCAATACTTTACCCTCTTCTCCAATTGAAGTTGATTTTATTTTGGTCCTTTGCATGTCAAGACATCTGTAGAAGTTTTAAGTAATTATTGATGACTTTTTATTACTAATGCATAAATAGAGTTAGTAAATATTAAACATATTACCTTTCATTAATAAGATTAACATTTTTAAGTTTATTCACATCTGAGTTTATGCAGTAATGCTGACGAGAAGCCAAAGTTACTACTCTTATATTATCATTAAAAATTGTTCTTTTTACTTCACCAATAAATTGTGCAAGTTGGCTATGAGTTCTACTGCTTATGTAAATCTAAAAAAAATTATTCATTTTACCTTATGTAATGTTAGAATATAGTGGAAATAAATACTACTATATGTAATAAAATGTATGAGTTATGATAAATTTCATAGACAAATCATAATATCCCATACCTTCACAATACCATCATCCTTATCAATTAAACTACCCTCTTCGTTATCGGATTCTTCATGTTCTATACAATCCTCAACTAACAGATCTTGATCTTCTACACTCTCTTTATTTTCAACATTTTCCATAATATCTTTTCCTTGGACTTTTTTGTTGTTCTTTACATATTCTTCAGGATTACTTACATAATTTTTTTGCTTTACAACTCTTTTTTTTAATTCATTAAATTCCACCTCTCTTTGACCAATTTTATCAAATTTTAATTGCAACATCATCAAACATTGATTCATTTTAATCTTAATATATTCTTCTTGAAGCCAATCATCACCATCTATTATATGATTTTTATAATTAATAAATATTTGAATTTATTAAAACAAAAATACATGAGATATGAAGTATAAATTAAAAGTTTTCTTCTATAGATTATTATACATTTTTTAAATATTTTCACAAGTACTTACAATAAAAAGAACAATAATTATGTGTGTACTAAAATGTTTAAAAGAATAATAAATAAAAGCTAACCTTTTATTGCAGTAAGTTCACTTTTAATCCTATCTATGTTTGCCTGTAAATCATTAATTATTTTTTGGTTGTTATCTTTCAACCATTGAAGTGCTCCACAGCAAATGCTTAAAGACTTGCCCTACAATTTAATTAGTAGATTATAATTTTATTTCATAAAATACAACTTTGAGTTAAAATCTGATAAATATAAAATTTACCGTTCCAGTGGGGCTCTCAAAAATACCAATTTTTTTATTTTCTATAGTAAAATATAATTCTTTCATAAACTTTTTTTGTATATCATATGGTTCAAAAGGAAATGAGAATGAAGGCTGCATATTATAATTTATAACAATTATAATAAATCACAAAACATAATCAATATTATTTTAAAGGAACTCCGCTGGCTATGAAAACCATCGATGAGAAATAAAAATGAAAATACTAATATTTTTCTCAATTTGCCGCCGCCCGCCAAGATCTTCAAGCCATGGATGACATTGACAAATAAAAATTTACATCTGTTCAACAATAATTAGCATAGAGTATGTAACCCTTCAATTAGTTGAAGCAACGGATCGTCCGCGTCGAAGCAACAATGTTGTTCGTTGTGTTCGACAGTTCCATTTTACATGTACGTTCTACAGTTGAAAGTCATGTCTACCGAATAAGTCGTTGCTGCTGCGACTTTCTTGATTTAGAATGAAACTATTCGGAAAGAAACGAGAAAAAGACGATGGTGGAAACGAGCAATGTTTACAAAGTGGATACCGAAACAATTTACTAAAGGACCTAATACCAGATGATGGATTGTTATTTAACAATTTTAAATTTATGCAAATTACTTAACTTAAGTCGTACATTTCCATATAGTCTTAGTTTGTGGCTTAGCCTGAGTAATAATTAAAATTACGTATTGTTTTTTATTAAAACGGGAATGAAAGTTTGTATGGGTAATCAACCTAGGGACGAACCCGAGCGAAGCGAGGGTGAGTCGCTAGTTATTATATATCTATACAGTATACTTATATAATAAATAGGTAAAGTTTGTGAGTTTGTGACGTTGTAGGAGATAATCTCTGGATCTACTGAACCGATTTAGATAAAATTTCGTAAGAAGATAATTTGAGACCTTAGGAAGGATAAATGATAGTTTTTATCCCGGAAATCATTCCTTAAGGAGGTGAAAATCTGGATGAATCTTGTATTGGGAAGTAAGCTAGGGACGAACCAGAGAGAAGCGAGGGTGAGTCGCTAATTTATTATATAATTTATAATATCGACGATACGTATTAATAAATATATATATTAGTTATATTTTTTTATATCAACACTGAACTTAGTGCCCGCTGCTGGTGCACTTGAAAACTAATTCACGTCCCAATTAAGCATTAGCACACTTCAGCATTGTGCGTCAAAGTACGCTAATTATGCTCTGTAATTGGAAAACAGGGATTATTATACTAAATAAATAAATTTATATTCTGTGCCTTTTGAATGATGATTAATGTCTATCATGATGTCTATTGTCTATGGTCTGTTATTGTCAAATGTCACTTTTTATTTGTCATCCATGGTCAGTGTTGTAAAAATAAAGGATTAAATTTTGTAAATTTACCCTCAAAACAATTCTTTATATTGTTTTCTACCGTAATTTTAAAAACTTTTACCAGGAACTTTAATAAACTTTTCAGAAAAAAAATATCATCAATTAAAACGATAAATTGTTTGCTAAACCGATAATGTCTCAAAAGTACGTAAGATGTGCGTCAAAGTTGAAATAAATCAATTGCTTTAAGTATTGTTTTAAAATATCCTTTAAAACTTGCAGCATTAAAATAATACCTGGGGCTACTGTATGTGAGGACTGTACTTTAGAGGGAGATATAACTATTGGTGCAGGTACAGTCATCCATCCACGAGTGACTATCATTGCTGAAGGCGGACCTATTATAATAGCAGAATATTGTATTATTGAAGAATATTCGACGATTATTCATAAGTATGACATATAAATATCGTTTCTTGTTTTATGTAGAGGTAATAATATCTATATATAAGATACTTAAGAATTATGTTTCGTTTTACTTTTAGGAAAAGTGACAAACAAGAAAATCCACCAAAACCTCTATTTATTGGTGCTCACAATGTTTTTGAAGTTGGTTGCAAATTAGAATCACCCTTTGGACACATTGGTGAGAGTAATGTATTTGAGTGCAGATCTTTTGTTGGTATGAATGTCAAAATTGGCAGTGGATGTGTAATTGGTAAGAATTCTTTAATATACATTTTTATTTTCCTCTCTTATTGGTAATTCAACATATGTAATAAGTTTTCCATTCTATACAACATTGGAGAAGTAAATTTGGCCCAAATAGCACTCCTTGAAGCCAACAAAACAAAGAATTGAATTGATATAATTTTACTGCCAATATTATGGTACTTAAGAACTATAAAATTTAATAACAATTATATATGCAAAGTATAATGCACTTATTAATCTTTTCTTATAATTATTTTAATTTTAAGGTGCAGCATGCCAATTAACAGTCCCTCAAACATTACCTGATAACACAGTGATTTGGGGTTCTGAGCATCACAATAGAGAAGCGTTAGAAAAACAACCCTCTCAACTACTTCAATTGGATTTTCTTAGTAAAGTAATGCCTAATTATCATAGACTGAGAAAACCTAATGTACACAAACGGCAACCTTCAAGACAATCTCAAGAAGTTACAAAATAATTATTGTATACACTATACTAATTTAATGTATCTCATAGTTTTTTTTTATTGTAATCTAATTACCTTATTAGCATTTCCTGATAAAACATTATTTTAATTCAGAGCCTACAAGTTACAACAAACAACGACACAGAAAAAATATATGTCGAAAAGGTTGTAATAAACCATTATTAAAAATTGTAAAAAAAAAACAGACTGTATACAAACTAAGAGATGAATACAAGTTCACAAAGGAATTTAGTATTATGCAGTCCGAGACATATACAAGTATGTACATCTTGCGGCAAGGATGAAACGTGTATAATATATTTATTTATTTACAGCTTTTTAAGTATTTTTAAGTAGAAAAATTAGCGAAAATGGTTGTTAACCAACTTTAAATCATTATACCTATATCTGTTATTTAAAATGAAAAATTATGAAAAAACCTAAAAATTACATAAGAGTGTAAATATAAATAGACTGCTATGAAATAAGATGTCACAGGTAACAGGTTCAATTTTGTATGGTATAAAAGTGAAGTTGGCAAGGTAAAGTTGTTATTGCAAAAGTTAGGAAATATTTCTGAGTCATAGAGAAATCAGTCTGAATAACAGCAATTTGTATGAGCAATCAGTAAACAAGGCTTTTTAGTCATATCTGTTTTTTAAATTTTAAATAAAACATGCTAAACATTTAAAAGGTGCAATTTTTTTCTTCTTTCTTGTAGGGCACTTTATTATATTTTTACTAATATTATAAATGTGAAAGTAGATGTTTGGATGGAAATTTGTTACTCAATCACACCAGAACGGTTGAATGGATCTGGATGAAATTTGACACAGTCTGGAATGGGACATAGGCTACTTTTTATCCCAGAAAAATGTACAGTTCCCGTGAAATAAATTTGAATGTTTACCTAGAGGCAAGACCGAGAGAAGCGAGGGTGAGCCGCTAGTTATTATATAATTAGCCAATGGCAAAAATGCGTGCATTAAAAATGTTCAGCTCGCCTTGAATAGCAAATGCATACAAGTCAGCAAGCTACTTCAGCAAATGCATTTTTATGTATAATAAGAGTAATGTCAAAGACATTACTTTTTCATAAAAAATGTTTTTTTCACTAAAAGTCAAATCATTGTGCAAGGATCTCTACTTTTAAGAGTTGGCTTAAATCATGGGCATAATTATAATAATAAATATAAGGGTAGATTTGATTTATTTTGGTTTGTTTAATTGTTGTTTTGTTCATTAAAAAGTATTTTTAAACGTTGATCCCATAGAAAGTATGAAAGTGTACTGTAGTTACTAGTTTGTCCATTTTATTTATAGTTTTTTGACAGCTCACGCCTATGAAGTTTCGTATTGTTTAGGTTAAAAATTCATACAAATATTATTGTACTTCATGGACGGGTGCCGCCCCCTTAGTGATGTGCCACACAATGATTACTACGATTGTGCCACAGATTATAAATAATCGGTACAAATAAATGCTAAGATATAAATAAGGTGTAATCTTCTTCTTCTTCCTGCCCATTTCCCAAGTCATTTGGGGTCGGCGCAGTAAGTCTTCCTCTTCCATTCTCCCCTATTACTCGTCATCTCATCATTCACCCCTTTCTCTTTCATGTCTTGTCTCACACAATCTATCCATCTTTTCTTCGGTCTTCCTCTACCTTTCCATCCATCTACATTCATTTCCATCACTCTTCTCGTCACATGCGTTTCATCCCTCCGCTTCACATGCCCATACCAACTAAGACGATTCCCTTTCAACTTCTCTGTCACTGGTGCTACTTTTAAGCTTCCTCTTATGTACTCATTCCTTATTTTATCCATCCTCGTCACTCCACACATCCACCTTAACATTCTCATCTCAGCAGCATGCAATCTTCTTTCATCAGTCTTCTTTGTAGCCCAGCATTGCGATCCATACATAACGACAGGTCTTATTACGGATTTATAGATCTTACCCTTCAACTTAAGGGGCATCCGCTTATCGCAAGTTATCGCTGTGACTTGTCGCCATTTCATCCACCCAGAGTTGATCCGACGCGTAATGTCTCGGTCAATATTACCATCACCTTGTACAAGAGATCCAAGATACCGAAAGTCAGTGCATATTGGTAAGGGTGTTCCCGAAAGGGTTATGGGCACAAGACTGGAGAGACCACCAAAGTCGCAGAAAAGGTATTCTGTTTTACTTCTGCTGACTCTCAAGCCAACACTCTCCAGTCTTTGTCGCCATTCTTCCAATCTGTTCTGAACATCTAGACTATTCTCGGACGCTAGCACAATGTCGTCGGCGAACAGCATGCACCAGGGGGCTTCTTCTTGTATGTCTGATGTTAAGGCGTCCAATACCATCAAGAAGAGGTACGGGCTAAGGGCAGACCCCTGGTGTAAACCTACAGCCACATTGAAGCTAGTAGTGGTGCCAGCTGTGGACCGGACTTGTGTACTGCATCGATTGTACATCGCTCGGATCAACTTCACGTACTTTTCAGGCACACATTTCTCTCTAAGGGCCCACCACAAAACCTCACGGGGTACCCGGTCATATGCCTTCTCCAGATCAATAAAGACCATGTGCAAATTCTTGTGTGCACTTCTGTACTTTTCGCATAGCTGGCGGATTGCAAAAAATGGCATCAGTTGTTCCCCGACTGGGCATAAATCCGAACTGGTTTTGTGAAATTTCACTCTCTTCTCTTAGTCTTCGCTCAATCACTTTTTCCCAAGCTTTCATACTATGTGAAATTAGCTTTATTCCTCTATAGTTGTTGCACTCCAGCACATCACCTTTATTTTTAAAAATGGGCACCAATGAACTGTTGCACCATTCGTCCGGTATGACTTCATCTTGCAACAACTTATTGAAGAATAAGGCTAGCCACTTCCATCCATCCTCTCGCAATAACTTCCATGCTTCTATTGGTATTTCATCCGGCCCCACCGCCTTTTCGTTCTTCATTCCACTTATTACTCCTTTCACTTCATCCATACTAATCGCTCTGACTAATCCTATATTTTCAGCCTTTTTGTCAAGCCTTCCACTCCATTCGTTCTCCTCATTCATAAGCCTTTCAAAATAGTCCTTCCATCTATCTTTAATTTTAGCATTATCTGAGAGTACCTTACCTGCTTCATTCTTCACACACTTCATTCGCGAAATATCCCTCGTCTCTCTTTCTCTTGACTTAGTGAGCCGATAAAGGTGTTTTTGGCCGGCCGGAGTATCTAAGTTGTTATATAACTTATTTTGTTCTATTGCTCTTGCTTTGGCAACTGCTTTTTTAGCATTTTTCTTCCATACATCATATTCTTCCTTCTTTGCCGCTTTCAAACTTAAATTCCGTTCATCAACATTTTGCCACTCTTTAAATTTTGACTTCTTTTCTTTCAATACACTTTGTACTTCTTCTGACCACCACCATGTGTCCTTATCTATCACTCTTTTTCCTTTAGACTTACCCAAAATCTCTTTTGCTGCATTTCTGATACACCCTGCCATTTCATTCCAACATTCGTTCACTTCTCGTCCTTTCATATCTCCCATTTCTATCATTTTATCAACCACTCTTTCTCTAAATTTTTCTGCACACTCATTCTTCTCTAACATATACCACTTTATTGTAGGTGTGTGACGTTCCTTCTGTTTATTTAATTTTATCTTTAAGATCACTTCCATTATCAGGGGTCTGTGTTGTGAGACCAAGGCTTCCCCTGGTAGAACCTTGCAATCTTTAACTTGGTTTAGGCGATTGCGCTTGACCAGGAAGTAATCTATCTGTGTTGTGTGTGGGCCACTTTTATAAGTAATAAGGTGTCCATCTTTTTTCTGGAACCACGTATTTGCAACTGCCAGGTTGTATGCAGTAGCAGCTTGCAGAAGGGTTTCACCTTCGTAATTTTGCAACCCAAATCCCCATCCTCCATGCACTCTTTCATAACTTCCTCTCACTCTTCCCACATGTCCATTAAAATCTCCTCCTACATAAAACTCCTCTTGCACCGGGATAGTCATAATTATTTCATCAAAATCCTTCCAAAACTTCTCTTTTTCCCTATCATCACATCCTATCTGTGGAGCATAGGCACTAATAACATTCATCACCGTATTCTCCAGCAATATCTTAACTAATATTAACCTGTCATTCAACCTTTTGACTTCCATCACACCTTCTTTCAAATTACTATCTAGTACTATTCCTACACCATTCTTTATTCCATTGCTACCGCAATAGAAAAATTTGTATCCCTCTCCAATCTCTCTAGCTTTTGTTCCTTTCCACTTCGTCTCTTGCAGACATGCCACGTTTATTCTCCGTCTCTTCAATACATCCGCTAACTCTCTTGCTCTTCCGGTCATCGTCCCTACATTCCAACTAGCATACCTCAGTCTGACTTCCATACTGCTTGTTTGTTTTGGCAAAAATTTTCCGACCGGCCGCCTGCCTGACGTCAACCCTCTTTGGGAATAATAATTGGTGTAATATGTTATTTAATTAGAAGGACAACAAAATTTTAAGGTTGATACTAATAAATTAAAATAATAACATTATATAGAGTTTTAGTTTCTTCTTAGTTTAAGGCATACAAATAAAACAACTAAAAAAAAAAAAAACATACAGTCGAATTGAGAACCTCCTCCTTTTTGAAGTCGGTTGAAAATAGTTTAATTCCTTTTATTAACATGAGTTGTCAGAATCATAATTTATACTAGATTCGTCCGATGAGGAATCTTCAGTAATATTAATGATTAGCTCTTGTGGGCATAAATTATCAAATGTAATGTCACGGTAAAAAATGGTAGCCGGACGGATGGTAGTTGATGTTGCCAGTTTACGTATATATAATTTTTACGATTACAATATTTATTTTCATATTAATAAATATTATAATTTTTACAAAATCAAATAAGCGATATCGATTATTACGTCTTTTAGGACATCACTATAACTTGTCAGTCATCGAGCTGTCAAAAAACTTATAATTGACAAACTGTAAAGAGGTAAATATAACTGTATCAAAAAGAATGTAACCACTACGTTTTATGATCTGTATGTATATTATTATTTAGTCATAGAGTATGTAACCTTTGTATTTAGTCATGGACCATATGTAGCAATATACTCTATGGCCAAAACTTTGAAAATTGAAAGTTTGCCTGTTGTCAAACCTACCCTACCCCAGCCTGCAAATTTATGATATTCGCAATGAAAAAAATACTAATCGATAGATTTTTAATAGCTCAATTCAACTACGTAGCCCTTCCAAATTGCTCACCATTAATTATAATATTAAAAATCAATAAAGTCTTTAAAAAAAATTCATTTATCCGTATATTCAAATTTCTATATCTTTTGATATATACAATATTTTAAATTGCTCAAAGTTCTAAAATACTGCTCAAGTTGCATTTGTAATTGCTCAAGTAGAGTTCTCACCAGCTCCACTTTCCTTAATTATTAAATAAATATAAATAGACAGATGATGGCAGTATAGAGACCATCGTGGCACACTTTGCCGCGCACAGCGAAGCTATCGTGGCCATGACCTTGATCAGACCGGCGCACTGTTGATGACGGCGGATAAGCGAGGGCATGATTTTCACGTGTTCAGGTATTTTGCGCATTGCAAACGAAACTAATTTGTTGAAATCAATTCTAGTCGGTTTTGAAAATTTAGCTTTATAATGTCTTATTTTACATTGAACACAAACAATAAAACTTTTCAGTTATAAAAAACTCATGAGTCACGAGCTAAATAATATTTTGATGCTGATGAATATTGGCGATTCTCTCCCTGCACTATGCAACCGGTGACAAGACCAGAGTTGACGCTGTACTTCTGTACATCGTCTAAGTTATAAACTACTGAGGTCGCAAGCAGTGAGAAGAATGATAAATTTCTAAAGGAGCTCGTTGAAACTTTGAATCCATATTGCTTTTAAAAGGTACGCATGTCTTTATCTTCTTTATGATATTCAAGATCACACTCTATACAAGTATTTTCAATGTACAATATCAATTGTTATTTTAATAGGTACACACGTAGAAGTCCAAGAAGTTTCAGAATCAGACCTCCTCTGCATAATCAACGATGACGAGGACGACGAGAAATCCTTGTCTCGCTCGGGCGAGGAAAACAGCATAAATGCCGGTAAACGGACCACAACTGGACCCCGCTAAGAAAAATGAAACATCGCCGCTAAATTAATCAGGAAAAAGAGGACGGTACTAAGGGCTCTAATGAGATGGAGTCAAAGAGTGAGACGAAACTGTTGAAAATGAGATGGAACATCCGAGAGGCGATCAGCTCAGCATCAAGAGATGGAATGTTTGTGGCGCTTCCAGGAGCTAAAAAGGATCGTAGCAGTATTATTAAATTATTGATTGCTGATCAGAGTTCAAAATTCCTTTATATTAAAGGCAGTTTATATTCATGCAGTTTGTTTCTTTGAAATAAAAATGTCATTAAACTATATGTATATTTAAAAATAAAAAAAGTTCCGTCTTGTATTGATGTTAATAACATTTTACTAATGATCCCTGTCATGGCTATTACCTGAATAGAATAAGCATTTGAACATAAGATTTTGTCTTAATTTATCTGTTGGTATTAATTTTCATTTATTGGTAGATTCCAGATCTGTTCTTTATGTTATAATATCTGAAGTGGAATCACGTAATGTGAATAATTCATAAATTCAATAAATTTAAAGAAATCCACCGAGAAACAGAATTAAGACGTTGAATTGGAACGATTGTCCAAGCCCGCCGAGGCCGACCGACAATGCGCGGTGCGCATGCGCACGCTCAGTTAACCTACGTTACATTTATTACAACTATACTTTTAATTATTTAATAATCAGCGAAAGTGGAGCTGGTAAAAACTCTACTTGAGCAATTACAAATGCAACTTGAGCAGTGTTTTAGAACTTTGAGCAATTTGAAATATTGTATACATCAAAAGATATAGGAGTTTGAATATAGAGATAAATTAATTTTTTTTCAAAGACATTATTGATTTTTAATTAAATAATTAAAGGTGAGCAATTTGAAAGGGCTACGTAGTTAAATTGAGCTATTGAAAATCTATCGATTAGTATTTTTTTCATTGCAAATATCATAAATTTGCAGGCTGGGGTAGGGTAGGTGTAGCAATATACTCTATGATGTAGAATCAAGAATGAAAACGACATCGGAATGATTTGTCGGTAAAATAATAGTTTTATACTTATATAATATTTTTAATTTGTAGGTTATACAGTTAAATTGTCCATATTTTTATAAAAATAATAAATAATATGGAATATTATTTTGCATCTATATACTATAAAGTTTATTCTATGTTGATGTTCTGTGACAAATACCATCGACTCACGAGTCGCAACCATAGAATATAGATGAATAATAAACGTCGCGACTGTCGGTGTCGCCGTCGAATGTCGTTATTATTTTATTTGTTCGTAACTTTTGGAAAGATATCAATAAAATAACAAAAATTGTTAGGAAGTATAAGTGTACAATAATTTGCTGATAAAGTGACAACAGTATTTATTAAAAGTGTTGTTAAATTGTCAAATAATCATTCGGTTCCTTTTTCTATATAATATTGCTTTTGAAATAACGTTTTAAGTTTATATTTCTCTTTAGAAGCCGTAATGTTTAGATTAAAATAAAACGTCTGGAAATTTTTACGTACATTTACTTTACTTCACCATCAATGCGGATTTTTAATCGAATATTATTGAACTAATTGTGTTCCATTCTCGACGCCATGTTGTTATTTACTCTTTGATTTTTCACTGTTTTGATATGGGTTTTGTGTGTTGTGGATAAACTAGTGTGTGAGCATGTTGGAAGATGTACCCATACACGGATGTCGTAGTGATCTTAAGAGTAAGCCTCCTACGCATCAAAGGAACCTTAGTTTGGATTTTAGGTGAGTAAGGGTAACATAAGGACAACTGCACTTATTTTGTTTATCAATATGACTAATCGCTTAGCATATTGTTATAAAATTATATATTGTTATGAATATTGTTGCAAATAATGTGTATAGCTGCAAAATATTTTATAAATAGAATTCATTATTTATGCTGTATTTATTATAGACAGTATATTATTAACTGAATGCTCATTTTCAGAACAAACAAATATAAAATAGGTACTTGAATTACATCATAATAGAACATCTATAACTTCCATATAATCCTTAAACACTCAAATTATAAGAGATGCTTAAATCTTATAAGGTTGCAAGGGCTTTCCTTTTATAGTATTTTGATCTTTCCTTTTATAGTATTTTGGTTCTGTGTTCTCCATTTTGCTCAGATACTTCAGTAAGTAACTTTTTGCAATAGATTATTATCCCACAGGAGGACAGTCTCTAAGCTAATTAGACAATTATTTATACAAAAACTGTTAATTTTTCCGGAATAAAAAGTAACCTGTTGTTTGACTGGCAAATTTTACTAAATAAGGTGCATAAGCTGTTGTATACTAAGCTGTATAAGTTCCTATAGTTTTTAACTATCCCATGGGAACTCTTTAATTTTCCGGGATGAAAAGTATCTTAAATGTTGACCGGGGATATTAGGTACCACCATCAAAATTTCATTTAAATCGGTCCAACAGTTTCGGAGATTAGCCCCTACAACCAGACTGAAAAACAAAAAATAAGAAAAAACCTGGATTTGATCTATTTATATTGTTACATCCCTCTGACTCGGTTTTTAGCAATTTTTTTTCTATGTACAGACATTCAACCTCTACAGTTTTATTTTATGTATAGATAAGTAAATAGTACATATAAACAGACAACCCTATAACCAAAAAATAATTTGGACAAATGTTTGTTCATTGTATGTGTATTAATTTTGATTTCCTTGTATGGAAAAAAGTTATGTTTCATATTTTCCTTTACACTTTATGCTATCATCTTATCCAATAATCTTATCTTATTAAGAAAAATATAAGATATATTAATCTTCTTTACATATATCTAAAATAATTACATATTCCCATTAACTAGTTCAGTATATTGTATAATTTATTTGGAGCATATTTGCAAATCTTTTATTTAGTAAGGCTATTGATATTGTGTTCTATAAAATACAGTGTTATTTGATATCATGTTCTAGTCTAATGAATACACCAGTCAAGTTGTTAAATTTAATCTGCAATACCTATTCTAATGCAATTTTAGATAGTAAATTTATCATCAAGCCATTTTCAATTGCTAAGGCAACAGTATTTTATAAAGTAAGATTTTTCACTGTTTACACTTTGCTCTATTCACTATGTGTGTTAAATATTGAAAATTAAACTAAAATATTGAGATTTTGTCATGTCGATTTTCGGGTTCTACATCCAAAAGGCAAAAACAAAATCCTTTTAATTTTTACTCGATTGTGGCGAAGCCCAAAGGAGAATTATGTCTTTGACCTGTAAGTATGTATTTATATCCGACCCTATGATCCCATGTAATTCCTAAACGGTTCATCTGATTTTGATAATTCAAATTGATAGCGCCAGTGTCAAAGGGTATAGATATCATTAAAAATCATAAAGGCGGATCTTAAGCGCGATTTTGTTCTTGTTATGAAATAAATTGTGCTAGTCAGACTTACACTTGCCCTATTTATTTCATTAACTAGCGACTCGCACTCGCTTCGCTCGGGTTCGTCCCGAGGTTGATTCCCCATACAAACTTTCATCCCCATTTTCACCCTCTTAAGGGATGATTTCCGGGATTAAATGTTTCTTATGTCCTTTCCAGGGTCTTGAACTATCTTCTTACCATATTTCATCTAAATCGGTTCAGTAGATCCAGAGATTACCCCCTACAACGTAACTCATTAACTTTACCTCTTTATAATATTGGTATGTATAGATTTTTTCTATTTAATTAGTAATAATTTTTAATACCGCTTAAAACTCATAATAAAACGATAATTTCATTACGTTACACATAGCTTCCGCCTGTGACTTAGCATGGACGGATTTAGCCGCTCTTAATTTTGTAACTATAATATTATTATAATATTATAGTGATCTGTCCTCGTTTCGCTATAATATTTATATTCTAACAAAAGGAGACTTTTGAAAAGAATCCCGCTACATATTTCTATTTTTTTTTTCTAAATTTTACGCCGCAATGAAAGTACCTAGTATTATATTATTTTTATATGGTAGAAGACACTTAAATTAAAAATGGATATGAAAACACTGATTATCATTATACTATGAATTTAATTACGTGTTATTTTATTGTCAGTCGCATTCTATTAAATATTCCCATAGTTCTGGATATGGCGATATAAACCTTAAAATATATCGAAAATGTGACATTTTATTTAACATTTACCTTCCTAACTTGATTTTATTTATTAACGTTTAATCATGCCATTAAGGAAGTGAATTTATTATTTAAAATCGTGGCTTGCTTATAACTAATTTTATACATTGTAAAAATAAAACTAAATATTCAAGTTAATTTAATAGAAATAAACGTGAAGTCAAACTAAAATAGGAGTCAAAAATTTCTGTAGATATATATAATAAATCGAGAAGCAAGAATTTATAGCACGTTAAAAAGTCCTCCCTAAAAACTAAGTATTTAACTGAGATTTTATGTTCCTTTGGATGGTTTATAAAATTTTAATTTTTAACCATTAAAATTAAATATGTAAAATTTGTTTTATTTTAAAATTATTATATTTAATAAAATGCTTATCTAATGCTCGATTTCACCAACATCCCATAAGCTACCACTTACGTATGGCTAGCCCCTAGGCTAGATCCCTAGCTTAAAAGTCCCCCTAAACTAGTCTAAATTAAATTTCGTTTTACCATCGTCAGAGCATAGTATTTCTAGTACCTATATAATATATTTAGGTTGCATTTTAACATTTAGGTGACCCCTAACTGTCGGTGAATCAGAAACTGTCGTCTAACAGCCCCCTAACCATGCTTAGGGGATCCCTTAAACTTAGGTGACATTGGTGAAATCGGCCATAAGATTCTTTTTATTTTTGAAGAATTCTACCTCGGTATACGTACCTGTTATATAAAAAAAACACAAAACAATTAAATACGACATAAGTACTACCACTACACAAGCAGGCATTATGTATAATTGGGCATTTTGCCACTAACGGAAAATTGTTGTGTCAGGATAATTTTACATATCACTTAGCTATATCATACTCAGTCTGGTATAAAAATTACGATAATGGTCTACGAGTCAAGCTTCTTTAATAATATAATGTGGTAATCTAAATATGTAATAAAATTGTAACTGATCACTGTCTATACATGGAAGATATTTGAGAGTAAGTATTATTGGGGGTCCCTTATTAACGTAAGAGAACCCAAAACAATTATTTTTAGAATTTTTGTTTTTTGTCTGTGCATTTGTGCGTGCTAATCTCAGAAACGGCTTAACCAATTTAGGTGCGGTTTTCACTAATGTATTGTGGAAAGCTTCACTTAACATTTAGTATTTGTTTGAAAGTTATGTCAATTTAAAGAATCAGCAAGGGACGAACCCGAGCGAGGCAAAGGTGAGTCACAAGTATACTAATAAATTGATTCTAAATTTCTCTGTTTTCTCTATATTTCCTGAATTTTCTGATGAATAATTATTCTCTGGAAAATCTAGTGTCTAGACCAGCTACACTCAACCTGCGGCCCGCGGGCCGCATGCGGCAGCATCAAAAATCGCATTATAACATATCTTTGTTAAAAAGGTAACTATATCGTTAACTTGGAATTACGTGTTCATTAAGACCTAAATAATTTTTGCTTGCAGCCCTCAACACCATGATTGAAACGTGTTTGTGGCTCCTATAAAAAATAGGTTTAGTATGGCTGGTCTAAACTCTAGGCCATCAGTGTGTATGTGTGTAAGCCTCCCCGGTACCTTTATATTGTACGACCTGCTATTATTAAAGAGTATTATTTAAACGAACCTTGGAGCCAAACAGTTGTCTCATTTTGTTCCCAATTGTAATAATTTCATATAGCGTTATGTTATCACTTCTTCCTATAATGTTTAACAAAATTTTAAAAGATTTTAACCTATTACACTTCTTATATAAAACTAACAGTACCCGCGGCTTCGCCCGCGTCCAAAGTTCCCATCGCTAACAAAATTCACAGGTCACCCACTGGACTAATCTGACGATTACCTGAAAATTTCATCAAAATCGCTCCAACTGTTTTGGAGTCCATAGGAAACATACATACATACACACATCGATTTTTCTTTTATTTAATCAACAATTTAAATTTATTTAAGTATTACTCGGAAAATAGAGTCCTATGAAAATTTTGTGATACACCAATTGTAGCGCCACCTACTGGGTCCAATTTTATTTTCAAACCATCCAGGAACCCATTGAAATATACACACAAAATTTCATCCAAATCGGTCCAGTCAGAGTAGGTTAACAAACACACGTACAGAAGAATTATATATATTAAGATTAAAAGTTCTCTGTCATCTCTGACATTTTTCTGACGCATTAGAGGTATTACTTAATTTATGTTGCCGCTCTGTTAGTACTTAGTACCTACATACTTTTAATTAAAAAAAAATACGTTTGGTACATATTTGTTCCATACAAAGAGTTACAGTTTCCAACTTATGTGAAGTTAGAAACTGACTAAACAATAATTAGTTTTCATCAATTCTATTCGATTGTACTAAGTTTGTACCGGATTGTATCGCTTTTTAAATCGTTTGTACCTCAAAAGGGGTGAGCAATATGGGGGTTCGAATATATGTATGGTTCACAGCCAACCTAAAATAGGTCAGTGTCCAGTTAGTAGAGAAAGGCCCAAATATTCCCTTAACAAATTAAAAAACGTTTAAATTGTATTAAGAATATAAAGTATCACTAAACTAAACTACAGATTTATTATTAACACATTAGA